CCCCCTTTTTTGCTCCCCTACCCCCCCCCCCTTTGCTTAGCCCCAGCCTTTGGCAGCAGAGCAGGGTTGTTTGGGGTTGGGTGGGGCTTTTGGGGGGGGGGGAGGCAGCCCCCTGTTTTTTCCTCGGCCCTGGGTGCTGCAGGTAAGGCACCCACGGGGTTACACGGCCACGCGTGTGCAGCACCCACGCGTGTGTCCCGCTCCCCGGCCACCCCAGGCCTCTCGGCCCTTGCTTTAAGCATTGACCTCCCCATGCTCAACCTCCGGGGTGTACGTGTATATATCTATTTATATATACTTATATTATTTTGGGGGCAAAGCTGGAGGCATGCGTTAAAAATGGCTCCCACCTCCCCGGCGCAGGTCGGGGAGCGGCAAACGGATGTCAACATTTTGGGAGGGTTTTAGCTCCCTCAATTAAAGCTGCTTTTTTTTTTTATCTCCATCTCGCCCTAAAGAGAGGGGCAGAGGAGGGAGGTGGGGTATTCCCTCCTTGTGCTTGATAACAATTATAGTTGAAAATCATAGCTTGCAGGGCATTGCCATATTTTACTTGATAACAATAAAAGTGACACATAAAGTTAACTGTTTATGTTTTATTTATTAGACTAAATGTGCCAGCGGTGTCGAAGGCTTTTGGCTGGTTGTTACAGCTTTTTATGGGGTTGTAAAACGCCATAAATCAGTCACTGCGAAATGGTCGGGGCTCTTTGTGCTCTTGGCTGAGAGTTGTGTTTGCGGTGGCTGCTGTTTCTTCTGGAGATGAAAAGTAATAATGGGATTTTATTTTGATTATTATCACCCCCACATACACCCCAATCATCGCGGTGATTTTGCTTTTTACCTTTTTTAAAATTTTTTTATTATTATTATTATTATCATTAACAAGCCCTGGCAAACAGCAAACGCCGCTTTCGCACTTTGAATAAACTACCTTTAGCAAATGACATCAGCAGGGTTGGAGGATTTAATTAGGAGCGCTGCAATTAAAGGAAAGCAGAACTTTCCAAGGCTCTGGCATCGCCCATATATTCCCCTAGAGACGAATTTGTGACTGGGAGACGCTCACACAAATTCGAGTCTACAGGGTACATATAGGTGACGGGGAGGGTTGGGGGGGGCAAAGGGGAGCTGAGCCCCCCCCGGACACCAGCTCCGCATCTATTTGGGCACCGGGACATGGAATAAGTCATTTTCTCGCTTTATTTGGCTTTTTGGGGGGGGGGGGGGGGGGTTTGGGGGGTGGTTTTTCGGGGGGTG